AGAAATTTGCCTGTGAAACTCACTGCTGGTTTAAAGTTCAAACTCTGCGCTCCCGCCAAGGCTTCTAGACGCGTTTGTCTCTTTTTTCTTTCTTCTACTTGCTTCTATCCTGGAGGCTTTGCTTCAAAACTCACTCCATTGTAGAAAGGTTTGTCTTTTTCTTTGTAGATACTCTTCCCGTCTCAGCTTTACTCTGTTTCTGAAATCCTTCAGTTTCAACAACGAGTTGTTCATGTTTTTTTTTTTTTTTTTTTTTGACCAAGCTGCCCGTTTGGGAGCTAGGGGCGCTGGTATGAGCAGACGCCTCTATCTCCCTCGGGCAGGCTCCGTCTATTGGTGGGGAGCAACACCTGCTGGAAAATGGGTCCAGCGTCCCTTAGCAAAAGCCATTGAGGTCCATCTGAAGATGTCCTCATCTTCTTCTGCCAGCATTGATTGCCCTGAGAACAGGGGATTAACTGAGCAGGAAGATGAGTAGCCAGAGAGGGAGGAAGAAGGGGCCTCTTCAGCCTTGCTGCTGGGCGCCCAGAACGCATGACAACCTAGCCCCCGTCCACCCATTCAGATACAGCAAATTAAGCCTCTGCAACTTAGTAACTATGAAGACTATGCACCCCCCCACTCGCTCTGCTCCATACCACTGAAGATCCACCAGTAACAGACTATGGGGTGGGAAGGGGTCAGGGAACTCCGAGGGGGGCCGTAACAGTCCTTGAAGCAAATAGTATAGTCTCTTCTGAGGTTTTCATCACTTCATCAACCTGCCTTCACCCATGTCGTCTTTGTCTGGAGTCCAACAGAACATCAAGCTGCTCCGCCCTTGTCCTGTGTCCTTTCTCTTATTCTGCACCGTACCATTGCATGTCCACCAAAGACAGTTGATGGGAAGGGAGTGGGTCCGGGAATTCTGAGGGTGAGTGTAGTAGTCCCTCCTGAAGTCTTCCTGCTCCTGCCCCGAGGATTGTCCACCCTCCCATCAAATATAGGCAATCCAGCCCCCTTTTTCATTACCCAGCCAGTCCCCTAAAAATTGTCCAACCTCCCATAGTTACTTCCTCTCCATCCATGCGAACTCTCTCAATGGTGTATGTGCAGCGCTTCCTCCAAAGTGCCCAAATAATCGCCCTCCCTATCTTGAACATATTGTTTTCAAAATCGCTGTCCGTGGGGGAGGTCCATGCTTCATAGAGCAGCGCCCTCCAGTCTCACGGCCAAGCCGATCCAGTGCTCAGGAGGCTCCATATGCGGTCCCACCAACACCAAGTGAGGACTGCCCCTGGGCATTGTAGGAAAATGTGTCCTATAGTTTTCGGGATCCTGCATGAGGGGAAGGCGTTATGGTAGGATTTACACCAGGGGAGTGCCAAGCCCTTCTGTTCCAGGTACGTCTGTCAACCAATTGTTTGTCAAGAGGTAACGGTGCTCTATCTGGCACTGTAGTGAGGCGAATTTAGCCGGTTTGGACCTCATGGTTGAGAACCACTGGATAGGGTGGATGGCCTCCTGTCATAAGTTCAGGTGGGTTATCCAACGAGCTTTCACAATCTCTTTAAGGGTCACCTCTGGCCGCAGCAGCCGGTAAGTGGCCTTCACTGACAAACTAAAGAACTTTATGTTTGGGTTAGCTGGCGTTCTTCGTGCATGCGACCAATGTCACTCCTCCGGGTCGAAGGGGAGTTCAGCGAGGGGTGTTCCGGGGAGACATGCGGTCCATTCATCATTATGTCTCAGTACTCGAATTTTGTGCAACTCCTCGTTCCTCCACCATCTCACCGCGTCCGGAACGTACCTGGTGAGAACATTGCCCTTTCCCTTATGGGAAAGGCTGACCAAAGATTCGCCTGCCCTCACTTCCACCACGTTACCAATGCTTTCTGTGTCCTCCGGGACTGCGACCCAGTCTCCTTTTGCCAGTTGCGGTCCTTTTCAAAGAATACGCACCCAATCAAGAGGGACATCAAAGATCAGTGTTTCTAAGTTCCTTTCAATATCATGGCAATACCTTGTCTGGGCCCTCAACTGTTCCAGTCTTTGCTCGTCGGGTCCCATATATCTCTGATCCTCACTATGACGTTTATGACCCAGCTGCTCCATGGGGGGTCCGAACTACGGTGCACCCTCCCATTTCTATCAATAATATTTTTGTTGCCAAGGAGGGGTTGCCTCATCACCTCTTCCCATCTACTCGGCGGTTTTTTTTTCTGGCAATGGTAGTTGGCGTCAGGACTTCGGCACCCGGGGCCAGAAGTCATCTCTCGCCAGGTCGCTCCTCGCTGCACCCCGGGTGGAGTCTGTATCAACCCGAGGACGCCGTGGTATGGACCAATAGCGGCCCTCCAGCCAAGTCAGGGGATCCACACCTCGTGGTGCTTGTGGTGCCAGTCTAGCAATCTGCTCTAGTGCAAGGATATACCAAGGAAGGTCTGGCGTAATTATCAATTTTCTGATCCATTGTACCAACAATGCAGCCACCTGTGTATCTGGGTCTAGGATGCCCAACCCCCCCTTGTCCTTTGGCTGGATCACCGACGACCAGGCCACCCTACTTATAACATTTGGAAGCTCATTATTTCCTCTTCACAACACGACGGTGATTTGCCTCTTGAGTGATCTAACCGCTTCTTTACTGAGGGCCCAAAGTGTAGACCTATACCAGAGGGCCGCTAGTACTACGTTGTTGATTACCAATGCCCTACCCATCAAAGATGTATGTTTATCATTCCAACGTGTCAATTTCTCCAATGCTGGTTTGAGGATCCATTTGTCATTCGATGCAGGCTTCCCCGATGTCGTCATCATTATACCTAATACTCTAACCGGGGCGTTTTCTTGTAACCATTTGACCTGCGGTATTTCCGGCGGATGCACTCCTTGGTGATGGATCCACCACCCTAGTGTTTTGTTCCCCCAGTTGACAGTCATATATGAGATTGCCGTAAATCGATCCAGCAATTTCTTAATCTCTTCCATATTCTCGGGGTCGCGTCCACCATAACCGTTAGGTTATCCGCGAACATCAAGCACACAGGGATCGCCTCTTCAGGGATAGCGGAGATCTGTAATTTTCTAAGATCTTGGTTAGTACGGAGGTTTGCTGCCAATGCCTCCATCACAATTATGAACAGAAAGGGAGCCAAGGGGTCTCCTTGGCGGACCGACCGTTGCAGCGAGCTTACTGGTGCCATTAGTCCATTGACCTAAACGCTCGTAGTGGCGTTGCGTGGTCATATGCTTTCTCCAAGTCGATGTAGACCACGGCAGCGTTGTGCTTGTCCTGCCTTGTTAACTTGAGGATCTCGTTGACCAGCAAAATATTATCGTGGATCCTACGTCCCTTGACAAACCCGGTTTGTGCCGTGTGGATGAGGTCCTCCAAAGCCGGGATCAAGCGGTTTGCCAAGGTTTTTGCTATTGTCGACAACCGTGAACAAGGTTATTGGACGGTAATTTTTTATGACCATCAGGTCGCCTTTTTTGTGTACTAAGGTGAGGACCCCATGCCCTACCAGCTCCCCCATATGCCCGGTTTCCCACACGTGATGGTAGAACCCCATGAGGTATGGGGCCATAAAAGTCCAAAATATTTCCCAAAACTCTTTTGGGAACCCGTCCACACCTGTTTTTTTTCCTCATGCATCTGCATCAGGGTCGTCCAAATTTCCTCCTTAGAGAGGGGCCTATCCAATTGCTCCCTTTGCTGGCCCATCAGGGCCTTCCTCATTGGCTCTAGAAAACCAGCTATCTCCTTTTCCCTAGCGGCCCCCTCCCGCTGAACGCATCGTGAGGTGAACAGGTCTTTAAAAAAGGATTTTGCAATCTGCATACACTGCGGCGTGGAGGTCGCTACTTCTTGACCTCTTGACTGCAGAGCGTATAACGCCTCTATCTTGGTTCTGCGTGAACGTGTACAGGCCAGGATGAAGAATTTTTTGTCCATTGTCCCTTCAGTTTCCTGACGTGTCAGTCATCCCCTGATGCGTGTCCCTTCCCAACGCCGTGTTGCGAAGGTCTAGACTTTTTGTCGTAGGGCTTGTAATTCAGACTGGTTGTTTGGAGACACTTGATTCTCAGGGTTTTCAGGATCCTGTTGTTCGAGCTGTTGGAGGCGGTTATGAACTTCCATTTCCTGTTGTTTCTTTTGAGCCACTAAACATTTCGAGTATTCTCTGCATTTTTTACCCAAGTACAATAGTCCGTTGTTGAACCAGTCTGTTTCATGCGGTATGTGTTGTTTTTGTGTGACCAGTACTTCCAACAGTCGATGTAATTTTGGAAAAGACTCCTGCTACAGGGTAGAAATGTTGAGTTTATAGAAGCTAGGCCCATGATCAGGTTTCTTGCGGAACGACAAGATGATGGTACACATTTTGTGATCAAGGCCCGTGTGCGAGTTGGCGGGTAAGGTTGCCGCCAATAGCAGCGATCCCCGCAAATCCTCCGAAATAAGAATTAAGTTTATTCTTGACGTCGATTGGGCGTTAGTCCCGGTTTTACGTAAACATGAGTAGAACCGGTTATCTGGATTAAGTTTTCGAAAGGAATCAAAAACCTTTAGTGAGAGACATAAATCCTCTATCATTCGTTCGTCCTCCTCTATATATGTCGGGGCAGGGAAGGGGGTCTTCCACCTCTCCATCCAACGGTCCGGGGCTGCGTTACAGTCTCCTGCTATAATTACCGGGACCCCGTCCGGGATTTGTGCTTTCAAGCTCTCGAAAAACTCCCTTCTCTCCCTCATGGTATTCAGGGTTCACATTAAAAAACCTATTGCCTGGAATGTTATTATTTAAGCTGAAAGTAAGAGTGAGGCCAAATTTGCTCATGATCGAGCCCCCAATAGCACAGAGATTTGAAAATCAATGTTTGTATGGGTTCTCCTTCCGTCGGGGCCCTTTCTAAACGTTGCATAAATTTGCCATAAAACAAGTCATCTTGTGCCAATTTTTCTTCTGCTTCGACCGCTCATTCACTAATTTGAAAATTTGCGTTGACTCTTGCAGTTTGAGGTACAAGGAAAGTATGTAGAAGGAAAAGATACCAGAGAAGTACTTTGTCAGGAGGCCGTCTCTGAAAAGGCTGACATTCTAGTGGTGGGAAGCAGAGGCCTGACAAAATTGCAGAGGTATGCCTTCTTCTTCTTCTTCTTCTTCGTTGCCACCGTCGTCGTAGCCGTCGCCATCTTCTTCTTCTTCTTCTTCTTCTTCTTCTTCTTCTTCTTCTTCTTCTTCTTCTTCTTCTTCTTCTTCTTCTTCTTCTTCATTGCCACCGTCGTCGTAGCCGTTGCCATCTTCTTCTTCTTCTTCTTCTTCTTCTTCTTCTTCTTCTTCTTCTTCGCTGCCATCGTCGTCGTAGCCGTCGCCATCTTCTTCTTCTTCTTCTTCTTTCTTCTTCTTCTTCTTCTTCTTCTTCTTCTTCTTCTTCATCTTCTTCATCTTCTTCTTCTTCTTCTTCTTCTTCTTCTTCTTTTCTTCCTCTTCTTTTCTTCTTCTTCTTCTTCTTCTTCTTCTTCTTCTGCTTCTTCTTCTTTTTCTTCTTCTTTCTTCTTCTTCTTCTTCTTCTTCTTCTTCTTCTTCTTCTTCTTCTTCTTCTTCTTCGTCGTCGTCGTCGTCGTCGTCGTCGTCTTCTTCTTCGTCTTCTTCTTCTTCGTCTTCTTCTTGGTCTTCTTCTTCTTCTTCTTCTTCTTCGTCGTCGTCGTCTTCTTCGTCTTCTTCTTCTTCGTCTTCTTCTTCGTCTTCTTCTTCTTTTTCTTCTTTTTCTTCTTTTCTTCCTCCTCCTCCTCCTCCTCCTCCTCTTCTTCTTCTTCTTCTTCTTCTTCTTCTTCTTCTTCATTTTCTTCTTCTTCTCCTGCTCCTTCGCTCCTGCCCATCCTTCTCCTTCTCCTCCTCCTCCTCCTCCTCCTCCTCCTTAGCCTCCTCCTTTCTTCTTCTATTCCTCCTCCTGCTCCTCCTTTCTTCTTCTTCTGCTCCTCCTCCTTCTCCTTCCCTTTGTGCTGATGCTGCCACAGCTTCTCTTCGTCCTCTTCCTATTCTTCACTTACACTGAGCAATTTCTCATATGGAAGAGTGAAAGTGCGCCTTGTGTGGACGCGCGCGCGCACACACACACACACACACACACACACACACACACACACACACACACACACACGCGCACACACACACGCGCGCGCGCACGTTCTTCAGGAACCAGTGGTTGCACACAACTTTGCTGCCATTTTCCTCTCTTCTTGCCAACTGGTTTCCTGAGTTATTTGCTGATTGGTGGAATGCTATATTTGCCTTGAATGATCACCTAAAATAATATAAGGCAAATGTTTCACTTTTTGGAATAATGGCGATGGTTAAAACAAACACACACATACACACACACACACACACACACACACACACACACACACACACACACACCACACAAACGTGGGCAAGCTTGCATCTTCTAATAGATTGCCTATCTATACCTTTTTTACTTTATGGATGGTTTGTGGAGATTTGAGACCAGGTTAATGGAGGCCCAAAATTTCAGACAACTTGTCATGCCATTTATAAGGAAACCCAAGGGTCATTTTGACTGCTGAGCAGCCCATCGGGCCTGTCTGTACTGAGGACAAAATTTAATTACGTGGGCTGGGTCACCACAAAACACCCACTGACCCAAGTTCACGCGTTCCTGCCATACGCGCTGGTCCAAGCCCAAGTCTTCCCAAGGCCTGCCCTGTGGCAAGCCTGGGTGCCATCCTCCTTGAGGTGACCTTTCACCTCGTCGTTGTGGGGACTGACAAGAACCCTGGCGATTTAGCGGGGGATCTTGACCCCTACCTCCCACTTGGAGGTTCCCTTGTCCGCCAACCCCCTGTGCGCCTGGTCCTCGGCCTCCCGTGGCCTGGCCCCTTTGGCCCTGGCCTCTTCCTCTACCTTGCGGCCTCCCTCCAACCGCGACAGCAGCATAGGACCTCCCTTGTCCCACGCTACTGTCCTCCTCCTCAAGGCCCCATTCGATCTGACTGTATGGGACCTCGTCTGTACCACCTTCCTCTAAGGGAAGGATCATGTGATCCTTGGCCCTGACTTGGCCAGAGATGGTACGACCCTTCCACTTCTTTCCTTTGTCCAAGTCCTTGTGCCAGAAAGTGGAAACCGGCATGGACTTTGACTCGAACAGGACCACCTCTCTACTCAACACATCATAAGTGATGTTGGCCTGTTGAGATCTGTCAAAGAAATGCCCACGCAGGGGCTCTGGCATGGCACGATAAAATAACTGGACCAACTGGGGCTCGGTGACCCCATGGTCTGGGACGACTACCAAGTCGTCCATGATGCCCTTGAGTGCCCTTGCACTCCTCCACTGTCGTGAGTGGATAGTCTGTAGCTTGTCAGAGGCTCTAACGTCTCTCGTTGGGTCAGCAAATCGCTCCCTCAGGAGCTTGAAGAAGTGAGGGAGAGGGGTAACCTTGGAATATGCAACCAGGTTGTTTTCACAACCGGTTGCGCGCGCTAGGGACCTGGCAAAACTAGTCGCTTCATCCTTAAGAGCCTGGAAGGCCACGAGGACTTGCTCCTCAGTCAGGATGTGTTGTAGATACACGTAGCTATTGACGCTTGCCTCCCAATTATCAAAATTTTCCTCCTTCTTTCCCCCGTATGCATATGGGAATTTAAGCTTGACAGACTCTTTACGGGGCCTGGCTTCACCCTCTACAGCGGCTATTGCTTTGGCGCCCTCAATGGCGCCCTCGCAGAACTTCCCCATGTTGTCTCTCAGTCGCCTAAGTTCGCCTCCAACGCGGGTGACCATCTCACGCGCGAAGTCTCTAAATCATGAGCGCATGGCACTCAGGGCCACATCCTGACCCCTATTGGCTTGGCGCTCCTCCAACCAGGCCGCACTCAACACTTCCAGATAACCCAACACCTTATCCATCTTGGCAGACATGTCTGTCTGCGCCTGCACTTCCTGTCTACAATCTCTCATTTTTGCCACCTCCTCGGTCAGCCTGTTAACTTCGTCCCTCCTCTTCTTCTCCCTCTTCATTCTCAGTTTCCACTCCAACTTCTTCTCTTCCTCTCTTTCTCGTCTTTCCAAGGGGTCCTCCATTGCTGCTAGCTCCTGGGCCAACGCATCCCTCTCGTCCTGGGGCACATAGAACTCTGCCTCTTCATCCTCCCCCAACGATAAATTAGCTATCCACTCACTGATCTTTCTCTCCATCTCTGCGTCTTCATCCTTCTTCGTGTCACTACTCTCCTCTCTACTTTCAATACGTTTTCTCTTTTTTTCGTCTTCTGCTGCTGCTTCCTCTTCGGCAGCCTTTCTCCTCTCTTCCTCCTCCTGCTGAACTCTCTTCATCTCCTCCTCCAGTTTCTTCATCTTCGCCGCCTGCTCCTCTGCGATTGCCTTCAGCTTCGCCTGCTTCAGGAGCTCTTTCCTCTCCTCGTTTTCTCTCACCAAGGCGGCCATCTTTTCCTATTGGTCCTGGGTGTAGGGGCTAGTGCTCGTCCCACTACGGGTTTCCACCATGGTGATAAGTGCACAACCGGATTACGGTTCCAAACCTCACCACGTAGACTCTAACCCCTGACTGACAAACCTACTGACTCGATCTAAGACTCACAGAATCCGGACAGGGATCCTGCCAACTAGGGTCTCTAGCCTAGACCTATACTATGGCTGTCACTACTAGACCTGTTGCTGATCAGGAGGCATTTAAGGAGATCCCCCGTAACTCCTCAGGAATTATTTAATGTCGCAGACATGACGATGCGATCAGCAGGTCTCTCAACACTTAGACGGCCTGTTGTGCAGCCCACAACTCAGATTTTGGGCCTACCGTGCCACACCGAGCAGCCCGCCGGTCAGTACCGGTCCTTGGGAGGGTTCGTGTCCTCCGGGACAGTCGAGTCGTCAGACACAGTCTTTAGCCCTACTCAGCCCGTGTGGGTTTGGTAAACAAGGCCCTATCCTTCATCCACAGTACTATCACCTAGACAGAAGAGACTCAATGCAGAAAGAAGAGACAGACAGACTGGACCCAGCAAGTACCACAGGGTGTGTGCACATCCATAGGGCGAGGGATAGGCTGAAGGCTTGGCGAGATTTTACCGGCTCCAGCTTGGTCAAAGTCTTGGTCAACGCCTTGGTCAACGCCGGTCAATGTTGCGGTCAACTCCCGGTCAAACCCCGGTCAACTCCGGTCAACACCGTTCAACACCTCCGGTCAACTCTCTCGGTCAACCCTTCGGTCAGCTATGGCTGCCGGCTTCTCTTTCCCTCACCAACCTTCTCCTTCCCTTCACCTTCCTAACCTCCTTTCACCCCGGCTGTCTTCTTCTTCTCTCTTTTTTTTTTTTTTTTTTTTGATCGGCTCTCTCTTCACCTCTCGGCTATGGCTTCCTAACCCGGCTCGGTCTCTCCCCCTCTGTCCTCTCTC